TATTTCTTTCCGTCTCATTAATGAAACAAGCGAGATGTGTTGCGTAAAGTCTCTTGAGGATCCCAAACAGCTTGGCAGTCGCTGGCTAGGTCAAGCGGCTGTACTTTTTTGTGGTTTCCTGCTGATCGAACATTGCTCATACAATTTTAAGTTCTTAACTGGTTCTGAGCAAGCAATTAAAAAAAAAAAAAAAACGAGTACGAATAAGCATGTAGTTGTTCCCGCAAACGCCAACGTTTTTCTTTAGAGACCACGCTCTAAGGTGGCCATCCCGACCAAAGAACCATAACAGATGTTGACATAAAACAGGATCTCCTCCTCCTGCTGCAGGATCAGAAAACTTCAAAAAAGTGGTATTAAAATTTAATAATTTATATCAGTTAATAGCATAGTAAATTAGTAATAGCACCTGCTAATACTGGAACTTCTGGAAGTGAGTCAAGTGACAATAAAAGCAGAAAAGCTGTAATTGGCACAGACAGACCAAACAGGGCGGTGGACCCTATTTCCAGCAGGTGCGGCTTCTGACCGATGGAACAGAGCAAAAAAAAAAAGAAAAAGAGCAATCTAGAAATGAGAGAACATATCAGTTGAAATAACCTGTGCTGTTGGAACAACCCTGGTTTGCCTATTGGTACGAGAATTTTAGGTTGTGTGACACATGAACTACGAAAAAAAATGCTGGCACCTTATGTAATTTAAATTAAATAAAAAAGGCAGATTTTCAAACATGCAAAATAGTAAAAGACAGTCCGTTTTCATTATGAAAATGTGTTAGGTCAAGTGCAAGGCGTTGAACTGGTGCTCTTCAGCTTAACAGCCAGACGCCTTAACCTCTGCAACCATGACCCCATATTTAAAAGTGGACCCCTACCAGTACCAGTCATAATATGCACCCCACCCCTGCATGGTTGCAGTACACACTCTCTCCACACGGCATCCATCGAGACCCTCTTACAGAGAACTGAATTCTGCCCGTCGGCGTAGCCACCAAGCCTGGGTATTATTTCCCAGCCAATTGGTCCGAAAAATGGACACAGCTTCCGGAAGGGGGAAAAAAAAAAAAAACAGCGTTGTCTGTTTTTCACAAAATGTAACTAAGACAACTTGGAAGCAAGCAGGAAAAATCCCATAAGAAAGGTCCTTCAGGACATCCGTTAAAATTGGGAAGATACAGAGAAGACTAGCATGGCCCATAAAAAAAAAGAGGTAATGTCCAGTTGATGTAGCTCAGTGGTTAGAGCACCGGTTGGAAATGCGCATTGTGGTATGAGGTTGCGGGTTCAAAACTCCACAGCCTTGCGCATGGACACCGGCAGGGCGTTAGAATGACGCACGGCTGGACACACACTCCCCTGGGCTGACGCATGGTACTATTACAGACACTGCCTGCGCACCACCCAGGGGACTGTCCATGGTGTTGTATGTTGGGTCCTGGCCTATGAGGGGTTTGCCTGATA